TCCTGTCAGTAAGCATCTGCTTGCCTGTATGGGATGTACCCTCACAGGTCTTCAGAAAATCTGCATGGCACTGGCAATCTACTGATCGCTGGTGCAATGCTTTAGAGGTTCCAGAAACAAAATATAATAAATGCACATTTTTTTTTACCTGGAAATGTATTATTTTTTGTTAAAAGGTGAACGTATCCTTTAATTCCCCAAAATTGTAATCAGCGCAACTATGCATACAACTATATACCAATACAAATGACAGTGAATAAATAAAATAAAAAAAGAATAAATAAAACCAATATTGTATTGCAGGCTGAACACTTAAGTGAATCTCACCTCACCCTAACAGACTAATGAAAATAAAAGTGCAGCACAACATAAGCACATCCACCCTAAAAAAGCATATAAGCTCAATTAGTGCAAAAAATGAATATAACCAAAGTCCAAAATGTGAACGTCCAATTGAATCTCCGTGACACATGCACATCAAGGTGTGTTTAGTTCTTCCATACACAATCAGTGCACCTCCACCACACCAGGTGAAAAATCTGCTCACCTCCAATATATAATTTTCTGGTACAATAATATTTTTATTTAGTAGATGTAAGAAGGGTGAGGTGAGCATAAGACCACCACGGATTCCATATTTTGAGGAATTTTGAGTGGGAATCATGAAGTATGCTTGACATTTTCTCATGGACCATGAAAGTGGTCAAAATGTTCCTCACTTAGGCAAAGCTGACAGTGGGCTTCTTCCAAGCCCTGTCAATGGCACGTTTAGCCGCTATGAAGAGATATGTGGCCAATTTGTGCTGATGGGACAGAAGGCCAGGGAGCGAGCAATGGAGAGGCGTGTGGCAGGGGTCTCTCTGGAAGGCAGTATGAAACAGAGATGAGAGGAGGCCATAAACCCGGGATCAAAAGCCAAATCAAGAGCAAGACCACCATATACGAATCATCTTCACTTAGGCCACAGCCCCTAAAGCATCTATCACCACATGACGGGTTTGCGTGTGCTATGCGAGCTGGGACCCAGTACCATCTGAGGAGAACTTTATATGCCACCTCCATGGTGGTCGTGTTGAACGAGCATTTGGCTACAACTAAGCAGGCCTTGTTTCAATCCTCCAGGTCTATAGAAGTTGTGAGATCACATTCCCACTTAGATAAATAAGGGTGAGATAAAGGGGAATTCCCCACAGTTAGATGAGTGTAGATTGAGGAAATGGTGCAGCTAACATCAGAGGAGTGCTGACAGATGTGCTCGAAGACCGTTTTCTGAAATGGGAAGGAGGAATTGCGGTGAAAAGGGGAGATCCAGTGTCGGAACTGCACATATTAGTACAATTCAGTTGAAGGGGCCTCACAAATGGAGGCCCAAGAGGGAAAAGAGTGGGAGTTTAAGAAGAGGCGCACTTGCGAATATCCATGGGCAGGCCACTAAGCGAAAACGTGGGGTTGGTCCAGATCCAGGGGGAAAAGAGGGTTGTTCAGAAGGGGAAGTAGAGGGAGAAAGGGTGACATCAAATTAGCCGAGTAACGTACAGAGTCCTAAAGGCATAGGCTCTGGGTCATAAGGGGCTAAAGGGGGAGGAAGCCAGAGAAGGGCCAAAATCAGGACAGGGGCACAGTTGAGGATTTCCATTAGTACCCACAAGGGAATGTCCGAGGTTGCATGTAACATTGCAAGTTGCGAGATTTGAGCTGCCAGGCAGTATTAAGCCACATTAGGGATCCCAAGACCCCCTCTAAATATATGGGTTTAAAGGGTGGTACGTGCCACTCTGGGGCGCTTGTGGGCCCCCAATATATCATTTTAAGCTCATCTCATTCAAAATAAAGCAGTCCTTCTGGTCCCAAACTCCACTTCTTGTCCAGGTAATATCCCTCTTCTCCTCCGCATTTGCTTGAGATTGATGGATGTGTGTACAATGTAATAAAAAGGCCAGAACATAGTGCTCTCCACTTTGAGACATTATTTTATCCCCACAATTAAAATCACAGCTACTGAAGAAGCCCGCATGGGGGCGTAACGCGTCTGGGGAGGAGAAGCTGATCACTGTCACAATAGTTTGCTGCCATCTTGCTCACAGAGTGGTGAGCAATTGGAGTTGTATGCTGATTGTGCATGAGGATTATATAACTCTAATGATCCAATTGCTCAGCACTCTCTGGAGGTGAGCAGGTTTTTCACCTGGTGTGGTGGAGGTGCCCTGATTGTGTAAGGAAGAAGTGAGCACACCTAAGTTACACGTGGATGTGCATGTGTCACAGAGATTCAATTGGACATTCACATTTTGGACTTTGGTTATATATTTGTGGCACTAATTGAGCTTATATGCCGTTTTAGGGTAGATATGCTTATGTTGCACTGCACTTTTATTTACATTAGTTTATCCTTTAATTCAACATCATAAGCCTGGTGATATTTCTTGAGTAGATCACTCTGCATTTACTAACCATCAGATGGTAATGTGTGTGATTGGCTTTAGATAAGCTCAAGTCAAAATGCTGCATCTCAAACAACCAATTGGATAATTAGAGAAAAAAGGGCATAACCAAGCTATTTTTTTCTAAGAAATAGTTTAAATGCAAAGAAACTCAGCTGCCTATATTTCAAATGTCAAGTGACTGTGTTAACATATGGTTTCACAGAAGTTATCCTCTGAGAAACATTTTTTCCATCATAAGCTCAGTTTAAATTGTCAAGTTTTGGGACAGATTTCCTTCAACAGTAGTTCAAAAAGGTCAACTGTCAATATTGTTTGAAAGTAATATGAAAAAACTTTCCCAGGGGTGCAAATAGGAAAGTACACTGCTGGCATATTCAAGCCATAGTGTCATGAGTAAATCTTCAAGTACTGAGATCAAATTTGTGCTCAACTAGGGTTCCAGTACAAAACACAATCAAAATGTCCGTAACAGATGAGTACCTAAAATAGATTTGACTTAAAGATTAGAAATACTCCCCATTTATTATATAGGTTTGAAGCATTCAACATAACTATACAATGCAATTTTTTTTTTAAGTGGGAGAAGCTCTCAAATTTCCTTTAAAAAGGTGAAGAAAAGTACACTCCATAAGAATAATCCACATCACCAAGAATAGTACAGTATTGATTTGAATTTCATAGAGTAAGATCTAAATCTGAGCTTTAGCTAAAGCTCAATAAAACTGTCTAGAGGTTCCTGCCGATGTCAAAGCTTGCTGCACAGTTCAGTGTATTGATTTTTACAGTGTTCAAAGACTTTTCCTTTTTATAACACCTGATTATCAATAAGCTTGCAATCAAACCTTTGTCAAAGAGGAATCTTTTTGGTCATTTTGTAAAGAACAACAATTCAAAAGAAACATTTTTTGTCACATACACTATGTTGTCAAAAGTATTGGGACACCTCTCCAAATCAATGGATTCAGGTGTTCCAATCACCCCCATGGTCACAGGTGTATAAAATCAAGCACCTAAGCATGCAGACTGCTTCTACAAACATTTGTGAAATAATGGGTCGCTCTCAGGAGCTCAGTGAATTCAAGCGTGGTATTGTGAAAGGTTGCCACCTGTGCAATCAGTTCATCCATTAAATTTCCTTGCTACTAAATATTCCACGGTCAACTGTTAGTGGTATTACAACAATGTGGAAGAAACTGGGAAAGCAGCAACTCAGCCACGAAGTGGTAGGCCACATAAAATGACAGAGCGGGGTCAGCGCATGCTGAAGCACACAGTGCAAAGCGTCAGATGCAGTGATGTAAAGCACACCACCAGTGGACTCTAGAGCAGTGGAGACGTGTTCTCTGGAGTGACAAATCTCTGTCTAGCAATCTGATGGATGTGTCTGGGTTTGGCGGTTGCCAGGAGAACGGTACTTGTCTGACTGCATTGTGCCAAGTGTAAAGTTTGTTGGAGGGGGGATTATGTTGTGGGGTTGTTTTTCAGGGGTTGGGCTTGGCCCCTTAGTTCCAGTGAAGAGAACTCTTAAGCCGTCAGCATACCAAGACATTTTGGACAATTTCAGGCTACCAACTTTGTGGGAACAGTTTGGGGATGGCCCCTTCCTGTTCCACCATGACTGCACACCAGTGTACAAAGCAAGGTCCATAAAGACACGGATTAGTGAGTTTGGGGTGGAGGAACTTGAGAACTTGATGATTGGTATGAACAGAGTCCTGACCTCAACCTGATAGAACACCTTTGTGATGAATTAGGGCGGAGACTGTGAGCTAGGCCTTCTTGTCCGACATCAGTACCTGACCTCACAAATGAACTTCTGGAAAAACGGTCAAACATTGCCATAGGCACACACTCCTAAACCTTGTAGACAGCCTTCCCAGAAGAGTTGAAGCTGTTATAGCTGCAAAGGGTGGGCCGACTCAATATTGAACCCTACGGACTAAGGCTGGGATGCCATTAAAGTTCATGTGCGTGTAAAGGTGGGCATCCCAGTACTTCTGGCAATATAGTGTACTGTATGTTAAAGAGGACCTAGAATGTGGAAGCTGCACACAAAAAATAAGCAATCAGAAGACAAAAGGGATAATCAGCAGTATTGCCTGTGAATTTCATGGAGTCTATCTTTTTCCATTACTGACTCGGCATGCCTTGTCTCCATCTTGCCGGATCAGGACTTTGCTTCTTCATGCAAGATATGCCCCCCTGATAATTAGTAATCTGATAACTGATGGGTAAATAAGCAACAACAGAAGAGGTTCATAAATCATAGATCCAAAGACTTTAATGATTCAAAAGCAGGGAAAAGTATATCTATAGGACCTCAAGTATATTTACTCTCCAGCAAGGGGAACAGTGAGAAGCACAGTAGTAACATCACCAAATATCATGAGACTAGCAGAATATAACAAATCTCCACTTTCTGAGCTTTAATTCACTTTAATTATGGTTATAAACATCAGCAATAGACAAGAAGAGGACGTACATGCATGTTTGGATGTAGTGATAGGCTAGAGGCACAGTTCCTAAATGATGCTTTGACACAAGGAATTTACTTACAGCAAGATATTCCAGACCACTGTACTGGAGAAATTCTTGGACCTTATCCTTTGATAACTGATTGAAGCGGAATTTAAAGAGGTCCATTTCTTGCTGAATAAACCACCGTCTTAGGTCTTCACTGAAAAATAAAATGATCCAAAGCAATGTCAGTTCTATTTACTATATAATTAAATTTTAATAACTAATAATTTAATTTGGGCACTTGAGGTCTTGCACCTGTACTAGGACTGATTTTATTCCGTAGTTTGACCTATATACGACTGAAATTCAATTATGTTTCTAGTACAAAACGTAACACATATGCTTATAAATAAATGACAAGCTTTTTATTTTCTATATATTTTATATGATGCTACCAAAACAATCAAAACAAATTATATACTGTGTACAGTATACACAGTTAAAACAAATAGCCAAGAATAGAGAGACATTAACATGGCAAATAAGGGTCAAAATAGGCCTTCGATTGCAGATGAGAAAAAAAAAAAGCAAACCAATGTAATAGTATTCACGAATGAAGTACACAGAAGGTATTGTTATTTTCAGTGCTCATCCATTAATTTCTAAAGCTGCCAAGTTAAAGTGATTCAAAAATAACAAACCATGTCTATACTTACCTACTGTGTGCAGTGGTTTTGCACAGAGCAGCCTGGATCCTCCTCTTCTTGTGTCCCGCACAGGCTCTCCTGGCCCCTCCCTCCTGTCGGGTGCCCCCAGAGCAAGTAGATTGCTGTGGGGGCACCTGCTGCACTGTGTGTCTATTCACATGTGGAGCCGTGGCTCGGCCCCACCCCCTCTCTTTTCTGATTGGTTCACTGCCTGATTGACAGCAGTGGGAGCCAATGGCACCTGCTGCTGTCTCAGCCAATGAGGGGAGGGAGTCCCGGGATAGCCAAGATTCCAGTGTACATCGTTGGATAGAAAGGGGGCTTAGGTGAGTATTGGGGGGTGGGGGGGATGTTGCACAGAAAAGTTCTTTTACCTTCATGCATAGAATGCATTTACAACCTTGAGCCTTTACAACCACTTTCAAATCAAAGTGTTCTTTGTTACACTATGGTGCAGATCAAATTGCATGTAGCCTGTTGCATCTTTAGAATAACCATATAAACAATCCTGATATTGAAAAAAACAATGCATTTTTAATATCAATTCACACTTCTAGTTATCAGTGCACCAATCTTTTTACCCTAAAGCAGAGGTGCTCAACCTTTTGAAGGGCAAGAGCCACTTAAGTGATTTGGTAACCGTTCACAGGCCACAATGAAATGAAATGGTTCAGAATTTCTAGTTTTATAGTTTGAATGGCAAACTGCGCTCGGTGCTCAATGTGATTATCAAAAAATCAAAATCTAAAAAAAAATTTACAGCTGGACTCTGAAACCTAAAATACAAATGCTTAATATGTGATATTCAAAAATAGTTGAGCTGTGTCTAAACAAGTAAACAAACAAATAACAGTCCAATTGTAAATGTAAGTGCTGTGTGAACCTTCAATAAAGACAAGTGTCCCGAATTTTGCTGCACCTCCTATAATTTGGGGTCTAATGATCTGGTAAGAGGCTGTGTATGTTTGAGATGTTGAGATCGCTGGAATTCACCATTGGATTGATGGACACGATCATAGAACACTATTCACTCCGATAGCATATGAGGACACCTGGGTAGAAAGTGAGCGCTTTTCTAATAAGCAGCTGTACACTCAAGGCAACCAACAGAGATCCTTATTCAAATCAAAAACAAATAGTGCAGCGCTAATAGTGGTATTAAAATCATGTAAAGTGATCTAGATAGACGATAATTATTAACATATAGGCAATAAAATATAAATATAAAACTGATGTATATAAAAAACGTATTATGTCAAGGTGAGTAATCACATATGGAATGATAGGTATATGTAAATCACACAGATATATTAGAATGATAAAAGTACGTATAAAATAAGGGTAAATATACAACTATCCACAGAGGTGACTAAGTTGTGCAAAAAGTCCACCAGAACCTCAAACCGGTGCTTGTGCTTTGTATTAATATGAGAAGTGCCCACTCACCAGACGTGCACTAATTAAGTGCATTATATTTAATATCCTGGTGTCGGCAGATAGTCGTCTGGGCCAGTAGATGGAATAAACGCCCTCTCAGGATGGTTAGGGTCCAGGGACTAAGTGCTGATGCTCCTGGGGTGTCCAGAGTTCCCCTATAGGGATGGATGGATGCAGCTCTCTGAGGATAAGGCAGGAGGCTCCCTCTTAAGAAACACTGGATACTGGGCATCTAAGAAAAATGATACTCCCCGCATGGGGTCACAACAGAAGAATGCCCATAGTGTAGTAAGATTAAATTCATTTATTCAAAGCAAAGTAAAGAGTTAAGGATGCATGCAAGTAAAGCAAACATGTATTAAGGGAACAGGAAGGACTAACCGTCACTGGCGGCCATTTCCTTTTAGGGACGGTTAGTCCTTCCTGTTCCTTTCATACACGTTTGATTTACTTGGATGCATCCTTAACTCTTTACTTTGCTATGAATAAATTAATTTAGTCTTATTACACTATTGGCATTCTTCTGTTGTGACCCCATGCGGGGATTATCCTTTTTCTTAGAAGCCCAGTATCCAGTGTTTCTTAAGAGGGAGCCTCCTGCCTTGTCCTCAGAGAGCTGCATCCATCCATCCTTATAGGGGAACTCTGGACACCCCAGGAGCATCAGCACTTAGTCCCTGGACCCTAACCATCCTGAGAGGGAGTTTATTCCATCTACTGGCCCAGACGACTATCTGCCGACTCCAGGATATTAAATATAATGCACTTAATTAGTGCACGTCCGGTGAGTGGGCACTTCTCATATTAATACAAGGCACAAGCACCGGTTTGAAGTTCTGGTGGACTTTTTGCACAACTTAGTCACCTCCTGCGGATAGTTGCATATTTACCCTTATTTTATATGTACTTTTATCATTCTAATATATCTGTGATTTACATATACCTATCATTCCATATGTGATTACTCATCTTGACATAATAAGTTTTTTATATACATCAGTTTTTATATTTATATTTTATTGCCTATATGTTAATAATTAATCGTCTATCTAGATCACTTTACATGATTTTAATACCACTATTAGCGCTGCACTATCTGTTTTTGATATGAGGACACCTGTCTCTATTGAAGGTTCACACAGCACTTGTGTAGGATCACGATTTACAACTGGATTTTGTTTAGACACAGCGCAACTATTTTTGTATATCACATTTTAATTTGAATAGCATAATGAACATTTTCCTCCTGCAGCCACTGAATGCCAGTGGGAGGGAAAGGAGGAGAAGCCAGTTTGCAGCAGTTGCAGGAGGAAAATGGAGAGGATTTGTTCCTGTATATGCCACCCCTCCTGTTCAAGTGTAAAACAGAATGCGGCAGGGAGGCCTCCTGGAGCATGATGTGGGGTTTCCATTGCGACCCCTGATGCTACACCAGTGGTGGTTGGGGGGGGGGGGGGGGGTTGGGACAGAACATACCTAAACTATGGGGTTTTACCACCCCCCCCAAACTGCAAATGTTAGCTATAGTACTTACGGCCTCCGACCTTTGATAAAATTTAAACAAAAAATATAAATTAAAAAACAATGTAGAAATTAGACATATTTAATCGACATGGAATGAAATCAGTAAACACAAAATACATTCAGCAAAGTGCAATGTGTCAGTCCAGCACCTTTTTTATTTTTCTCATGTCCATAGGTTTAAAACAATATTTTCCATGCTTTATGCAAGGTTCTGTTCAGATTTGAGCTTTTCCATTCTGCGGGTAGGGCAGTGCATTCATTTCAGTGGGCTGCCCTACCTGCAGAATTATGGGGAAAAGTCGCTGACTCATTTTTAAATCACGGTGCACCGAGCTTACTCAAAAACACAAAGCTTTTGCTGTTGCGTGGGAATGCCAGTAAGGATTAATGCGCCCCCCACAAGTCTACTAAGGTGAGCACGCTGCTCTGCAGTTCGAGAACACATGCACGTTCCCCACCTGCAGATATGTGAACCTAACTATAGCTCATTAAAAAACAAAAATATAAACTATTGCTAATAAAACACAAACTAAGCTCTCTACTTATTTTTTTTCTTTTACCCATCAATGAAGGGAGAAAAAACAAAATATTTCTAAAAATACAATGTACTGTGAATACTGCACTTCTGCAAGTCATAACCCACACATGTGCCATCTGGTGGCAGAACAACTGTTTAACAAACTGATATTTTTCTTTTCTCCTTTTTCCCCTCCATAAAAAAATACATTGTTTTTGTACATTCTATGTAGGAAAATAGTAGAAAATGCTCACAGTTACATTTTAATGTGGTTTATTGTGCACAATGACACACATACACGTGTGCATTAACCTCCCTGGCGGTATGATTACTTCATATTTTTGATGCTGAAAGCGGTACCATTATTTTGCATGGAAATTTGGCGTTTTATATTGTAGGCCTGTAATTCTTAGGAATAATTCACTGAAATCTGTCCGAACAAGAGTCTAATAAACATCCCGGGTAGGATAAAACTTGAAACATGAAATCATAAATTATAATTTAATAAATAATCATAAAAAATAATAATATAATAATAAATTTAATTCAATAATATAATGAAACCAAAAACACTGAAATTTGAAATATAGCGCCAAGTTCGCACATCACCGAGCAAAGTCGCAAAATAGATTTCAGTGTCTGATGACGAATTTCCCCACGAATCATTATCACTCAATTCTGCAAGTAGTTCTAATTTACTATCGCTGTTCTCTAGCTGGTATAAAACCGCTTTTGACCTAAAGGGACGCTTTGTGGACGACATGGACATTTCTCAGTTTCCAGGCAGTAAGAACAGTAAAAATGCAGGCAGGGCACAGGACAAATCACTAGGGACAAAATGTATGTGAAATGGTTTGGTACAGTAATGTTTTATTATGTGATTTTAGTGATTTTTGTGAATGTCACTTTTTGTCATTTTCAAATTTCCCACCGTTCTGTCCCCTGTACGTCCTGACGCTCGCAGAGGATGGAACCCAGATGACAGATGCCGGCATCCGCCGGATTAAAATTGCTGAGGACACTGCAGGAGGGACATCGCGGGAGCGCAGGACAAGTTAAGTGACCGAGGGATCGCGGAGCAGCGCCGCATGGTATTCCCAAGCGTAGCTCGGGGTTAACGCTTGTGGTACCGTTCTCCCTGTGTTGGAATGGTTTTAATTTTTTAATGATTTTGTCAATATTTCAGTGTTCTGCAAAGCACTGGGAAAAGTGTCAGTGCTACATAAATGCTGTGGACAAACATACTTCTCTGTGGACAACCCTGCATATCTAAACAGCCAAACGTATTCCCTACATTGGTTCAGGTCACTTCTACTGGAGTTAACAACAAGTAAAATGACCATATTTTAGGATAGATTAGTTAATCCTAAGTATGTGACACCTTCTCCCTCAGTAACTGCAACAAAGCAAGTGTGCTGATTGATAAAGTCAGAGGGAAATCATAAATCCTTTTCTGCATTAATGGGGTTATTTACTGTTGTAAATACGGTAAATAATAGCCGTATTCACTTTGAATGGCCAATCATATGCTTTTTCACATGATTGGATAAATAACAGTAAACAGAGTTTAAAGGATAACTTCACCTAAAAAAAAAAAAATAAATGCACATTTTTTTTGCAGGTAAGAAAATGTACATTTATTTTTTATTTATCTTTGGGGGGGGGGGGCTGTAAAGCATTGCACCAGTGATCAGCATATCATGGGTCAATCTCAGGCTCCTGCAGATTGTCAGTGTATCTGCTTGTACTTCATACAGGCAGGCAGTTACACAATGACAGGAAGACTCAATGAACTACCTAGAGTGCTCACTAGCGCCCTGGTAGTTCACTGAGAACTACAAGCCATCAGCCACAATGGCTGTGGGTACTTGTAGTTCATTCCCTCTATGAATGAATGACGCAGCCGGGTGGGCAGAGTCGCGCACAGCTGCGTTCTGTTCAAACTGTGACAGGGAGAGAATCCCCGGCCCACTATCACATTGGGGGGCGGGGGAAATCGGCAAGAGGCTGCAGAATGGGAACATGTTACATGTTGCACCCTAAAAACAGGTGATACATGTTGCCAAATGTGAACGTATCCTATAAATTTCTCGAGTGAACATTATTTCCTCCTTTAGTAAGTCAGCCTTACTGACTCTGTGCTAAAGCAAGGGTGTCATCATGACCTCTAGACAACTGGCATGTTTAGAAGCACAGGACAGCAACGGCACCTTCACATTCCTCTCATGACAAGTGTTCTTGAAGAGAGATGAAAAAATATTGTGAGACCAGTTTCAGAGATATGCGAATTAGATGCGTTTAGAAACGCATCGATTCGCATGATATGTGAACAAAAATCCTTTTCTATGGAGCCGTTCCACATATGTGCAGGCAGGCCGCAGTGTAAATTAAAAAAAAAAAAAAAAAAAAGAGTCCGGTATGATTTTCAGCCCTGTTCAGGTGCGAATTCCAAGGTCATACACTTTAACAATTTGCATTGGAATCGCACCTGAACTGCTGAACAAAATCACACCAAACTCTTTTACAAATAGCACTCCAAACTGGACCTGAATGTGTGAACCCAGGCTTAAGCTTCTAGTTAAAGGAACTAATGACGTTGCACTAATATTAATGGAGTTTGGATTGAACATTGGCTATTCTATTTAGGACACTTTGTATAAAAGGCCTATGCTGGATTGGTCACAGAGAAAAGATCTTTAGTAGTAAGAATTACAGGCAAGCATATCCTATTTTAGTGGTGCAATAACCATAGAAAAGCTGAAATCATGTTTCCCAAGTTGGTAAAATATCAGCCATTTCTGTAACCACAATTAGGTTTATTCATAATGGTTAACGATGGTTTGTTTTTGATCCGTATTATATTGCAGCTTGAACTGCAATTGCTGGAGCTGGGTTAGGCAAGAAGAGGACAGTATGTTACCTATGCAGGAATGAGTTGAGTAGAGCAAACATTTTGGAGGGGAGAGAGTAGAGCCAAAGGGTAAGGGAAGTATGGAGCTAATAACAGCAGAAGAAGGGTATACATGTGCTCCACCATTGAAAGGGCAATAGATGGTAAACGAAGATTTCTGTCATATTAACTACAGATACGAATACTTACGACTGACAATATGCAAGGCGTAGAATAAAATGCGATATATGATCTTTTCTCCGTTGGTCATAAACGTCATCACTGATGTCAATCTGTGGAGGCTGCATAAAAACATTAAAATTAACAAATCAATTAACAATCATCAAACTTGTTGGCTTGTCACAGTTCCTCTTCAGGACGACTCTGCCAACATACAACTCCTGGGCAATGATTTAATAAAACTGGGGAGCGCAAAATCTGGTGCAGATGTGCATGGTGGTTAATCAGCTTCTAACTTCAGCTCGTTCAATTAAACTTTGACAATAAGCTCTGGTTCACACTTGTGTGGGCCCTGCGGCCTGTATTTGCGTGGGCATGGCAGCCTATTCATTTTAACAGGCTGCCGTGCCTGCATTTTCCACAAATAAAAGTGCATGCAAAAAAAAAAACTTGCATTGTCTTTTTGACCATGCAATATTCCTGTGGTTCCCGCAAACACTGACAGCTCTTAAATAACCAAGGGGCGGGGCCATCGGTGATGGCTCCTGGAGACCCCTTCCCCCCTGTGACATCACCAACCCAGCATGCCCCATGTTGGTTACATCATAAGGGGGCGGGGTCACTTTAGACCCCCACAACCACCGGCCAGGGTTGTGGGGAAGAGGCCCTCATCTTCAACAAAAATAAGGACAAGGTGCTTTGGGGGGGTGGAACCCCCCATCTCAAAACACCTGCCCCATGTTCAAGGCATGTGGCTTGGTATGGTTCAGGAGATGGAGGGGTGCTCACTGGTTCCCCCCCCCTTTCCTGACATGCCAGGCTGTATGTTTGGATAATAGGGTCATATGTATTTTGGGGAGACCCCCACGCCATTTTTGAAAAAAAAAATGTTGGCATAGAGTTTTCTTTTGGTGGTATTTTATCACCTGTGCGCTTTTTATTTTTTGCGCTATAAACAAAAAAAACCACGAAAATTTTGAAAAAAAAACAAATTTTTTTTCTACTATCAGCTATAAAAAATATATCGTAAACTCAAAGCTAGTCATAAATTTAAGCCAAATTGTATTCTGCTACATGTTTTTGGTAAAAAAAATCACAATAAGTGTATATTGATTGCTTTGTGTGAAAGTTATAGCGTCTACAAACTATGGTATAGATACTGTAATTTATGCCTTTTTTTGCTATACAGCGCTGCACTACGGTAATTCAAATGATAATTACGCGGTCATGCAATGCTGTACCTAAACGAAATTTACGTCCTTTTTTTCACACGAATAGAGCTTTTTTTTGGTGGTATTTGATCACCTGTGCGCTTTTTATTTTTTGCGCTATAATCAAAAAAAATACAAAAATTTTGAAAAAAAACAATATATTTTCTACTTTAAGCTATAAAAAATATATCCTAAACTCAAAGTTAGTCATAAATTTAAGCCAAAATGTATTCTGCTACATGTAAAAATCTGTTCACTGTAATCAATGACACTGGTGACAGGGCAGTGAAGGGGTTAACTGGGGGGGGGGGGGGGGGGGGGGGGGGGGGGGGCGATCAAGGGGTTAAATGGGATTTCTGGTGCACTAGCGGGCAAACTGGCGCTATCTGGGAGGGGCGCTAACACTATCGGAAGTCGCCAGCGACACTGATACAGTGATCAGTAAAAATCTGTTCACTGATCAATGACACTGGTGACAGGGCAGTGAAGGGGTCAACTCGGGGGGGGGGGGCCATCAAGGGGTTAGACGGGATTATTGGTGTATTAGCGGGCAATCTGGCGCTATCTGGGAGGGGCGCTAACACTATCGGAAGTCGCCAGCGACACTGATACAGTGATCGGTAAAAATTGGTTCACTGATCAGTGACACTGGTGACAGGGCAGTGAAGGGGTTAACTGGGGGGGGCGATCAAGGGGTTAAACGGGATTACTGGTGTACTGGCGGGCAATCTGGCGCTATCTGGGAGGGGCGCTAACACTATCGGAAGTCGCCAGCGACACTGATACAGTGATCAGTAAAAATTGCTTCACTGATCAGTGACACTGGTGACAGGGCAGTGAAGGGGTTAACTGGGGGGGGGGGGGGGGAGATTAAGGGGTTAAATGGGATTACTGGTGTACTAGCGGGCAATCTGGCGCTATCTGGGAGGGGCGCTAATACTATCGGAAGTCGCCAGCGACACTGATACAGTGATCAGTAAACATCGGTTCACTGATCAGTGACACTGGTGACAGGGCAGTGAAGGGGTTAATTGGGGGGGGAGAGAGATTAAGGGGTTAAATGGGATTACTGGTGTACTAGCGGGCAATCTGGCGCTACCTGGGAGGGGCGCTAACACTATCGGAAGTCGCTAGCGACACTGATACAGTGATCAGTAAAAATTGGTTCACTGACCAGTGACACTGGTGACAGGGCAGTGAAGGGGTTAACTGGGGGGGGCGATCAAGGGGTTAAACGGGATTACTGGTGTACTGGCGGGCAAACTGGCGCTATCTGGGAGGGGCGCTAACACTATCGGAAGTCGCGCAGCGACACTGATACAGTGATCAGTAAAAATTGGTTCACTGATCTGTGACACTGGTGACAGGGCAGTGAAGGGGTTAACTGGGGGGGGGGCGATCAAGGGGGTTAAACGGGATTACTGGTGTACTGGCGGGCAAACTGGCGCTATCTGGGAGGGGCGCTAACACTATCGGAAGTCGCTAGCGACACTGATACAGTGATCAGTAAAAATTGGTTCACTGATCAGTGACACTGGTGACAGGGCAGTGAAGGGGTTAACTGGGGGGGGCGATCAAGGGGTTAAACGGGATTACTGGTGTACTGGCGGGCAAACTGGCACTATCTGGGAGGGGCGCTAACACTATCGGAAGTCGCCAGCGACACTGATACAGTGATCAGTAAAAATTGGTTCACTGATCAGTGACACTGGTGACAGGGCAATGAAGGGGTTAACTGGGGGGGGGGGGATCAAGGGGTTAAACGGGATTACTGGTGTATTACTGGCGGGCCATCTGGCGCTATCTGGGAGGGGCGCTAATACTATCGGAAGTCGCCAGCGACACTGATACAGTGATCAGTAAAAATTGGTTCACTGATCTGTGACACTGGTGACAGGGCAGTGAAGGGGTTAACTGGGGGGGGGGGCGATCAAGGGGTTAGACGGAACTAACTGGTGTATTAGCGGGCAAACTGGCGCTATCTGGGAGGGGCGCTAACTCTATCGGAAGTCGCCAGCGACACTGATCAGTAAAAATCGCTTCACTGATCAGTGACACTGGTGACAGGGCAGTGAAGGGGTTAACTGGGGGGGTGGCGATCAAGGGGTTAAATGTGTTCTAGAGTGTTCTAACTGTAGTGTAGTGCTTGTGTACTCACTTTTTGGATGTCTTCTTCTCTGTCTGGAACGGAATGTGTCCAGGCAGAGAAGAATGACATCATACCCTGCCCTGTGTAAATATCAACACAGGACAGGATAGGACAGGGACCGATCATGTGATTTCAGCCAGAAATCACTGGCTGAAATCTAATGATTGATCCCTCCTGGATCGAATCGTATCACCCGCGGGTCGGCGGGAGCGCGCGCCCCCTACCCGCGAATGTGTCGGGAGCGCGGAGCACGTTTTAAAACGTGCTTTTGCGCTCCACTGCCGCCCTGCACACGTATATACACAGTGGCAGGGCGGCAAGCGGTTAAGTTATACTTTGAGGCCCTAGAGAGGCAAGGTGGCCACATATGTAGAAAAATCCATGTGACACTCTCAACGAAGGCTTTAACCAAGGAATAGGACTTAATAGGGCTGAAGAGTGCAAAATCTGGTGCAGCTATGTATGGTAACCAGTCAGCTTCAACTTCAGCTTGTTCGATTAAGCTTTGAAAAAAAAAGAAAAGAAACTGGAACTTGACTGATTTCTATGCAGAGCACCAGATTTTGCAGTCTCTCCAGTCTTAGTAAATCAACACTAGTAGGTCTCTGCAAAAAGAACAGTCATAGCTGAAATCTACCCCTTGATAGTACTTAAAGCCAAAGAAATATCCACACCAGATTGGAAAAAAAAAAGCCAAAATAAACATCACAACATACTGTCAGAGATTAAACTTGTGAGTCTCAAACCAGGCAAAATAATCTTTCTATGTAGAATGGTGCACCATCCTGGAGGTTGACTTTCTTGCCTTAAGGAGGGTAGGGATTACAGAGTCAGGACTTGAGCTTCCAGAGCAATGCCTTCAAAGCAAGTGACAGTAAAGTAGGATGGGAGACCAGATCCTGCCACAGCAAATCTCGTCAATCTGCAAGAGTCCACTGCTCCTCTACCAGGAGATTTATGTCGTCCACATACCACATTCCTCTTGGCCAAGCAGGTCCAATGAGAATCACCAGAATGCCTTCCACCTTAACCCTGCACAACAGGAATGTGTAACATATATGTAAAAGTAGGGTACTATCTCCAATAGCTGAGATGTGATATAACCTGTAAACTAGTATGATTGTGGCATTAAAAATACTGTATTCTCTTGATTCAGTAATCAATAGACTGATGATCCTCAACTGGAATTGGAAAGGAACGAGCAGGTCTGTAGACCAGAACTAAAACCTAGATGCCAATGACATCTTCACATCCTTATAGATATAGTTAAGTATAAGTGAACTGTTACCTCACCAAGGCTCAAAGGGAAGCACTAGCCCTAGCTGTTCTGTTGACAAGCCCAGCAGGGTAAGAGTCCTATACACCCAGAAGGTTCCAAACTGTCTACCAACAATGGATTTATATCATGGATAAGAAAAATATACTGGATTTTATTTGTTAAAAAAAAAAAAAAAATAGTTGCTGAGGAGATTAAACAATTTTTTTTCCTAATCATACACATTTTGGGGTACATGTACTAAAAAAAAAAATTGTATGCATAGTGTATAGAATCCCTAACAAATCCCCAAAACACCTGTATGGAGCTTGCTTGTGACAGCCTTGTTGTGATTGGCCTTGTTGTGTTTAGACTGATACGCTGGTTTCAGAAATCCCATTCCAACCCAGCCATCAGAACCTTCAGAACACAGAACCATCCTTTGGTCTAAGGAGGAAACACCCCCGGGGTTGATTGGCCATAAGCTAGAGTCCAGCCCACATCCATATCTCAAATTGAAGAGCATGAGTAATGGACATTGAGCCATTCTAAAAACTGGTGGACTGCAAATATTTCTTGATGTGCTCCCATCGACAGGATAATCCTCAGTAAAAAATGTTTTGTTTTTTATCCATTTTTATTTTATAGCTAATAGCCAAACTTTGTGTTTTTGTATTTTTTTTTTCTTTGTATATATTCTGTGTACTCGGTCTAAACTCCTTGCCAGTTTGTATGATATTTTACTGTGTATTGGAAGATTGCAAACTAGCAGATCTGCCAGACATTGATTCGTATGTGCATGGTAACCTAGCAGAACAGTCAGCAGCAGACAAACCGCTAGGTGGCGTGTCTGGTGTGGGGGTGTTTGAGTGGGAAGAGTGAACAATACAAGGATCTTAGCTGTAAGATAATTTGAGGAATCCCAGAAATGTGTGCTAATTGCTAGACTGCGCCCCAACCCTTAGAGTGCATACAAGAGCATATAAAATTTATATCTGTGTGTGGTGACCCAGTCAGATTACAGTGGAGACTTCCTCTCGTGGTGGCCAAAGGTAGTGCGGATTGTGAAAAGTCACAGCCAGTTTTGTTCAAATTAAGTTCCCCCACGTTCCCTACTATATGAAACAAGGTCCTCACCTCGGTTAGCTAGTCACTGCAGGCTTGCGATCTTGAAAGTGAGGAAGAGCAGCCGTGGATGGAAGGAACAGGATCAGGGAAAATTAAATCCAAGGAGTCACCAATGCATCCATTGTAAATGCCTTTGAATCCTGGTTCAGGACACAAACCTGTTCAGTTTGTCGATGAATCTGGATGACATTAGATTCTCATCCATTGTCCCCCAATGCTGAAAAATCTCTACAAACATCTCTGGATCAAGGGCCTAGTCTCCTGGATTCCACTGCTGATGGCTGGGAAATTCCACCTGCCAATTTTCCAAAACAGGAATGTGCATGGCAGAGAACGTAAATTTCTACCAAAGACAAGATCAGGTCCACTTATTCCTAAGCAGCATGACTTATTGTCCTTCCTTGATGGCTGATGCATGCCATAGCTGTGGCATTGTTCAAATGCACCCCAAGCGGATGGACAGCACTGAACAGACCTGTGTAGGAGAGCCCGGCAAATCGCCCGAAGTTTCAGAATGTTAATTATCAATTTTCACTTCTTTGATCACCACATTTTATGAACCGAGAGGTTCTCCAGAGCACCTGTCCAGCCCAACAAGTCAGCATCCACCATCATGACCTTCTAATTCATTGTAAGGAAAGATTTTCCAGTATTATAGTGTTACTAAACCCAGGACCCTGCATTCACTGTATCTGACATTTGGCCTATACAGACAGGATATTGAGTTGAAGAGCTCTGCAGTAGAACTAGGCAAAGGCTGCCATATCAAAGGCAGCTACCATCTTCCCCAGCACCTTCATGAAGGAATTTTTAACAACCTCAGATCCTGCGACAACCTGGGATCAAGAAACATGCATTTTTCCCATGAACACATTACCTTCGTTTGTGTCATGTCGAAGTCTAAGCCTAAGTACTCCATATGTTGCTAAAGAACCAAGGCCAAGGTCTCGGTGATCAGCACCCAAGAGGACCTTTCCAGAACTTGTACCATCCACTGGGCATTTGTGGTCAGCTTCTGAGCTGATTGCTGCCTGAGATGCAGGTCATTCAGTTAACCCAGAACAAGGATACCCCAAGCCCTCAACAACCTCAGAAATGGAGCGAACAACTTGCAAATAGAGTAAATAATTTTATCACCACAGACAGGCTGAAAGGAAATGCCCCAAACTAGGAATGGTGATCCTCCACTGTGAATTGCATAAAATGAGTTCTGAAATTGTATTGAATTGTATTGTATTGTAACTGTACTGTCTGCCCACATGTTGTAAAGTGCTGCACAAACAGTTGGTACTAAATAAATTCCAAATAATAATAAGAATGTCACATGAGGACCTTGGATAAAAGATTTTTCACAAGTATAATCTGATGATACTCTATGGCACCCTCTTCTCTCATGCTGAAACAAATCCTATTCTATTTGTTTCTATTGTGTGATGGGAGTCACTTTGGGTGGGGGGGCCCATGGAATCCAGCTCACTTATGTTTAAGTCACCCTGTGCCTGTTAAAGGTACAGGGTGATCTGTCCTAATATAGTAAGATTGGGGTGGGGAGTTGTTGATTGTTTAATGCTATTGTGTGTCTTGCTTGGGAGCAAACTATTATGGGATGTATGTGTTTGTGTATTAGCTTAGTGTGTGTGTGTGTGTGGGGGGGGGGGGGGGAGGAGGGTCTCCAGAAGCCCTCTCTCCTGAAGGGACTGTCTGTTGGTGTGAAGTTTGAATACCTGTGTGTCTCTTCTTGCTCAGTGTAGATTGCCCCACTCTGTGTCATTATGCAGGGAAGGGGGATTTTCCCGAGTGTATAAAAAGCCAGTTCGAGTTTCAAATAAAAGAGTTCCATGTTCAGACAGACTGGTGTCGTCTAGTCTTGTTTGGTTGGCTGTGGGGTCTGTGGTCGGTGTTCGGACCGGGAAGCGGTATTCTAACGGAAGTACTCAGCGCAGGCTGGGGCGGTTCCGTTACATATTGTCTCTTTCTTTCACTGAGATTTCTTAAGAAACACAAAATAGTATCTAAATAATGCTGTAGCTCCATTCCCTTCATCAATGATGATGAACTGATCACTCACTTGCTGCATACATAACTTGTCAACTAAAATTATAATATTACCTACTAATAATTACATTTTTTTACCTTCATTTATAATGCTCATACTCACTTTGTCATTCTTGTTTATTGTTAAAGCCTAAGTGCAGTCAAAATCAAAAACAGAAAAAATCAGTTCAAGAGGTATAACTTGTTCAGTAGGATGTGTCCCTTGTGCTAATTATTTTGCTGTTCGTAGTAATTCCTCTGTGCTGCATCTACAGTATCAATGAATGGATATAGTATGGCTTCTATGAATGGCAGAAAGGTCAGGCACAGTCTTGGCAAGAGCCTGTGACAGCCCTTTAGTTGTATTAACGCCAGCCACACTGGAAGATAGTGGCAGAGGAGGTGGGAGGGTAGGATAGAGGAAGACTACTACTAAAAGCAAAGGAATCAGCACAAGGGACACATCCTACTGACTGTAAGTTATGTCCCTTGTGTAGATTTTTTGTTTTTTTAAACTTGGCTGCACTTAGGCTTTAACTGAATGAAAGAAAATAAAAACAATGGAAACAAGTCTAGTAATGGTAGCTCTTCCAAGAAAGAAGAACCCTTCCTCTAAACAGACAGGGACATCTTAGAGAATAAAAGCTCATTCTCAAATACACAGCTCATTCATATTAAACAAGAGCTTTAAAAATAGTTAGAGGATTCAATCCTTCAAAAGCTTTACAAAGAAACCTGTCATGTGGAAAATATGTTAGCTGCTATTTCTGACCTCTTCTTGTAAAAATGATAGTTGCCTGATTGTCATAATGTCACAGATCCCCTTGCCATCTGTTTATTATGTATACAGATTTGGACATCTGATTTTCTTCATCTGCACTTTTCTGGCTAAGTGACTGAAAATAATGCAGACCACTCCCTTTGCAGGTTTTGGCTAGGATAAGGACTGCAAATAGCTAATTTCCTTGTGGGTTTCTAAGCAGTTTTGAAGACTTATCTGATGTTTTTCACAATCTTCTAGGCTTTTCATAAAGGAACCATAAAAACACAGCGAATACAGAAAACTAAAATGTGTCGTATACAGAAAAAAAAAAAAAAAAAAAAACAAAGAAGAGCAGATCCTTTACACCCCGGTCACATCAAAGCCGATAACTCCTAGGTATACTGCATTTAAACAAGCAAGTTTGTTAAAAGGAGCAAGCACAATATTCAAAGGGCTAAAACCTTAATAAAAAATAAAAGTGCAATCAAACCAAGCATGATATACTGTACACATGGAAAGGTATAAACAAGCAGGAAGTTCAAATCACATAATCACCTGCATGAAAATAATAAAATAGAATTGTTGTAAACTTCTGATCAACATTTCTAACATAGTTAATTCAAAATGTTTCACACTCGTATACTCACTCTGTATGGAAACTTAAGTCTTTTAAGTTCATTTTCCAGCTTGCTATTGTAATCGAGTGAGCCTTTCAAATAACTAACACCAAGGTTCTCTATGGATTTCAGAACTAGAAGTAAAAAAAAATTAAACAATTAATCTCGCATTTAATCTGGGCAGTACCTTTTTTTATTTAAAAGCTCCTAAATTCTATTTTTAAATGTGACCTTATTTTATATTAGAAAACATTTGGGATATAAAAACAGAAATATCTAAAAGTGGTTGTAAAGCTTCCCTTGTTTTATATTAAAATACCAAACGTTATATTTTGTTTTGCACAGAACAGCCTTGATCCCCCTCTTTTCGAGTCCCCTGCCGAGTGCCCCTATAGGGAATCGCTTCCTATGGGGGCATTCAGGCAAGTTCGCTCTTCAGCCGAGCTGTTTGTGTCTCCTGCTTTAATTGGATATGGGCAATGACTTCCCTCTTCTTAAGCAAACAAAGCCAATGGCATTGCTTATCCATCTAGCCACTGAGCTTTTTTGATGCATGAGGACCGTTCTACAAGCCTCTGAAAAGCACCTCAAGATGACAGGATCTTCTGGCGCTTTTTTTTTAGGTTAATTGTAGTATGTATCTTCTGTGTTGTGAATCCAGGAACAGATTCTCCATCTGATTTAATTCTTCCACTTTTATAAGCCAGTCAGATAGACAGAGGTTGCGTACTTTTCCATTTGAAGAGAATACAAGATTTGGCAGAGTTAGGAAGGTGGCGAAGGATTGACTTTTTGTATATTCTGGAGGGGGTACTGCAGGCATGTAGAAGGAAAAAGGAACCACATACTGAATTTTTGGGTCAAGCGGCGAACCTCTGTCCAAAAACCAGTCAGCTTAGGACAGGACCAAAAAACAAGTAAAAATGTACCTCGCTCCTGTTGGCAGCTCCAACACTGATCAGTTGTGTTTGGGAAAGTTAGTTTCTTGAAACATTGTACAGACAGAAGATTTTAATGCAAAACAGATTATGTTTGTCCTGTGAGAGTCGTTTAAGCAACAACCCAAGTCCACTTCCCATTTGTCCAAAAAGGGAGTATGGTAATCAAAACAGCATACATTACAGAAATCATATGGGGTACGGTGCCTTGTTCCAAACAGATATTCTCAAATGAGGTCAAGTCACGGCTGAAAACTAAAGAGGGGGAGGAGGCAGGGAGCAAAAATAATGCTCTTCAGAAGTGCAGCAGAAAGGCCCCCCCTGGAATCAGTTAGGCATGAAATAGAGGGCCAGTCTCCAGCAATTAAAAAGCAAGAGGCCTGAAAGCGCCTGTATCAAGTCAGCAGGCGAAAAATGCCATCCCATACACCCGATGCAAAGCAATGATTGCCCAAAATTGGGAACAACAGGGAGTGCAACAAGGACAAGTTTATGGTAGAGAACAATTGGAGGCAAATGCGGGCAGTGATGCCCACCATGGGGGTGTGACCTGAAAGATGGGGACATCTCCTTGTAGCAACACGACAAGCGACAGAGCATCAATTCACTTTGGGCCTGTTCTAATTGTGGCCAAAGTTTAAATCTCCCCATGGTGACATCAATCTATAAGGCGGCCAAGATGCACTGCCTGGTAATATTTATGAAGGTCGGCAACTGCCAATCCTTCAACTTGTTTGGGGAACGTCAAAAGGCGGCGACGAAGGCAAGGCTTCCTTTCAGCCCAGATGAATTTAGTGAGAAGGAAGTAAACCTTTTAAAGGTAACTGGATGGTAAGGAGATGGATAATGCTTGGAACAAATATAGAAATTTTGGTAAAATGGACATATTGAATATATTGTATCTCCCAAACCAGGAGTGAAGCCCGTGCCGCCAGTTATCTAGTAGAGTACAAACCATGTTAAAGGAGAGGAGGGAAGTTAAGCTTGAAGGTATGGGGAATGCTAGCTGGAATAAAGTTATCTAGATATTTTAAAGCGGTGTCTATCCATTTGACTTTGAAGGAAAGTTAGAGCTGGTGGAGTAGAAGAGATGAGATCGCCACACCCATCGCTTCAGATTTGGTAAAGTTGATTTTTTAAGTTAGATAAGGCTCCATATCAATCAAATTCTTGGAAGAGATTAGGGAGAGGTATCGCTGGCTTTGTCACGGAAAAATGAATATCGTTGGCATAGGCCAATACTTATATATACTTGTATTGATAGCCCTTGATACAAAGACCAGTGATGTCCAGATTCAAGCGGACTTTACATAGAAAGGGCTCAAGCTGCAAAAAGGAGGGGAGATGGTGTCTTCCAGTAAAGTTGCATGATTTCAAAGTTGGATGTCATTCTGACTTGAGGTACAACTTGCAAGACATCTGCAGCTTGCAAGACAGAATACCATGCAAGTCGCACCTGAAGTAATGCATGCACTACTTTAGAAATCGGTGCTGCTGTGACCAAGTCAGAATCACACCAATATGACCACTTTAATTGCAGACAATAGAGTGCGACTTGCCATGCAATTTGCAACTCTCATGGCATGGCAAATAACATGGCAAGTCACACCCGGTTTCACAGAGCACACAGTCTGAAAGTAGTCACCCAGCTCCTTTACCACATTTGCTAAAATCGGCAGGTCCTGTAGTAAGATCTCATTAAGCTTCCAAAACGCTGTCCTGGAAGAGGGGATGTCTGTGACAGAATATATCAAGCCAATTGGCGCATGACCTGACCACGTAATATTCCCTATGGAGCTCTCAACCACTGCGGTGGGGGACCAGGAAAAAGTCAATATGAGAGTAGATCATATGAGGAGCCGAGTAATAGGTGTAGTCCCTTTCTCCCGAGTGGAGCAACCTCCAGACATCTACCAGTTGGTTGTTATGGAGGATTTTGCTAGAGCTCAGCGTCAGTGAAGAGGAACCAGAAGGTATCCACCAAGGGGACAAGTGGGACGTCAAAGTTGCCACAAAGAATCAAGTGGCCCTCGGTAAAGTCCATGAGTTTTGCTAAAGTAGATCACAGAAAGAGATCTTGTTGGATGTTAGGGGCATAGAGGGTTGCCACAGTCAACTTAACCCCACCAGTGACGCATTTTTTATGCGTTGTGTGTTTATGGAATTTTTTCAAATGCATCAAAAAGTAACATATTTTGAAGCGTTTTTAGTGTATTTCAGGCCTTGTTCACACCACTGCAGTTTGTGTTTTGTCTGTTTTGCCAAGGCCTGGTGAGTGATCTCCATCCTACTACTGTGTATACCATGTACACTATTGGGGGGGGCGAAGAGCTGACAGAGACTTACCAGAGACTGCCAGGTGACTGACCACTGACAACTAAGCACCGCTCATACCACTGACACCTAGGCAACGCTCACACAAATAACTGTCACTTAGGCACCGCTCATACCACTAACTGACACCTTAGTGGCCGACCACTATGTACTACAGTGAGCAGGTAGGAAATACATCACAGCTCCCTGGAGGAAGGACTATAGAGGGGATGTGCCAAGACCATTGGCTGGGGAAATAGAAGGCATAGAAACCACAGGGGATTAACGGTTTTATTTGAAAATAATCAGCTTATTTCAGAACAACTACTGAGTGAACCAGAAGATGGGAGAACATATTTGGTGAAGGATGGAGATCAGCAGCAAGGACATGGAACAGAGTTTTTTCCCAGAGTTCTGCTTTAAGATCCTCTCTCTTTTTTTATACTACTATATCACCTTTGTTAGATGTTTCTATTAATAGCTTATTACGAAACCCACAACAGTAAAATCAGTCTGTATATGCAGTAAAGCATGCCTGTTATACTCACTAAGTGATAATCCTCTGCATTGTGTAAAATGGCAGTTTGAGCCTTTCTTCTCTGCTCCTCCCCTTGTTCAAATGTCCACTTATCTCCTGATAAGACAGACTGAACCTGTAGCCACATGCAAATGCTCAGTTTAATGTATGTTGCTAGAGAGGGTTTTTTTTTAACTAGGAAAGTGCATGTGATCAGCACAATGCCAATAAGCACTGTACAGACAGAGGTCAGGGGTTCTGTATCCTCCTAGAGCAGAAAGAAAACTCCTCCTACAAGCTTTAACCAGTGTTCTGCTGAACACTGATAAAAGACACAAGACTGCTCTAACTGCTGGTGAGAAAAGGTATTTAGCAGTTTATATTTACTAAAATAATTGCACTTCCATGTTCTGTGTACTGTGGGAGTCCAAATATAGTGAATGCAGGGTCCTGGGTTTAGTAACGCTTTAAAGTTGTGGAAGCTTTCAACTTTCATTTGGCCTCACTCCATAAGCAGAGGCTATTTATATATTTTTCAACCCATTCAATAGCTAATATACATATACTGTAACTCAGAGAACTAGGTCAGAATCAAAAATCTGTTAATTGATTAATACAAGCCCTCTGTGATAATACAATACATGATGGGATACATATAATCTAACAATGAACCTTAAATAGTGTTAATATTAAATAGTTCTGCTGTGGTGATAAATATACTGCATTAAAACATTAATTAAATCTTGTTCTGTAAAAAGAAAAAAAAAAACTCACTTTTAAGTCTTTCAATAGCAAAGGTTTCAAACTCTGAAAGGGAAATATTTTCCGTAGGTGGAACCTGGTAAAACTGTAGGCTGAATGGGTAATTTTCACTCTTCCTATCTCCCGTTAGTCTGGGATTTAACTTCAGAAGCCGATTCCTAGAGAACTGCATTGCCAAAAGTGAGGGAAACTAGAATACACAACCTGCAATTTAAAAGGAAGGCAAACTCAGTTAAGTAGTTCAACCAGCATCTACTGCAGTTTTCTTAAATGATCTTAAATAATTGTAAACATTAAAGCGGAGCTCCAGTCGTTTTTGTAGAAATTAAAAGTCAGCAGCTACAAAAATTTTAGCTGCTGACCTTTATTAAAACAGACACCCAAGTGTCCCCAGATCCAGTGGTGTGCTCACCTGAGGGGGCATCGTGTACCTTCTTTGGTCCCTGGTGCCAGCATCTTAGCTGTGGGCAACCGATTGTGACAGCTTGCAGCTTCAAAGCTGGGTGCCCACTGCACATGTGCGAGCCACGCTGCTCACTGATTGGTTCCACAGTCCTCAAGGACCCATGCTGTGGACCAGAAGGGAGGAGGGGGGGAGGAGCACTTCGCCTAGGCGATCCAAGCAGAAACATGTCAAAATCAGGTCACCCCCCCAAAAAAAAGCACCAAAATGTGAAAAAGCAGGGGGGGGGGGGGGGACGTTGGGTGGAGGCCTTAAAGCGACACGTCCCCTTTTTTGTGGAGTTCCACTTTAACATTTCCTTCATTAAGATCTCCTAAAAGGCATTTAATTTGTACAATATTTAATCTTAACGCAGCTTTAGACCCCATGTACACGGGACACTTCTGAACGATGGAAACCAACTGCTGGAAAACGTAGGTTAAAAACGTCTGTTTAGCTGCGTTTGCATACTGCGTTTATGTGCATTTTTAAAAGATAAGCACAGGCGAACCTCCCAAATGCCCAGAATGCACTGAAAAGTGGTAAATTATTAACTATTTCAGACTGTTTCAGAGAAATACAGAGAGTAGAAGCAGAGACAGCAGTATGTGTTGAAATTAGCTTAGGTGTGAAGTGTTCATTAACATTTCTTTTGTTTCCAAGGGTGGGAAAGGTGGACAGGTGTCTGGTGGAGTGAGTCACTAAGGTCACCTGGCAGGGGGTCTTCATGAGGAATTTGAGCTGTGAACGGTCATTATCTTTCGTTTCCAAGGGTGGGAGAGGTCGAAGGTGTGAATTGGTCATTACAATGTGTGACAAGCTTAGGAGGAACATCCTGTGTTCACTGTTTTGTCCATCTGAGCCCCATGAAAATGCTTTGCATGCATTTTTAATGATGAAAAAAGGCTCTGGACAGCATTGGGAACTGGAAGAGCAGAAAAAAAAAATTTCAAAACGCAAACGCTTATAAGCACGATTTGCCACGTTTAGCTTTTGAAACGCTGATAAAATCGACTGCTGAACGCAAGTTTTATGTGTTCAAAAAAACGACTGTAAACTCAAATGCCTGTAAACAAAGATGTGTACATGGACACATAGGAAAACATTAGGGTGAGTTCAGGGGCTGCTGAAAAAAACGCTGAACAGCTCCTGAATGTGAGTTTATCAGCTGCAGTGTACATGAGTCCTTAGGTTCCACGTACACTAGCATTTTTAAGCTCCTAGAAGCTCTTATCAGCATTTTTTTCTGCTCCTAGAAGCCAAATGGTGTTATCCTATGTGTCTATGCATACTATTTTAAGCTAGTAGCATTTTTTCAAGCTTCAGCATTTAGGAGCAGAAAAAAAATTGTTTTTGTAGAGTTTTTGGGAGTCTTTTTCCGGAAGAAAAAAAACCGCTAAACGCTCCTAACAGCTTTTTTCTTCTTCTACTATGTACCATAAAAACGCTAATTAAGCACTAATGCTTCTAAAAAACGCTATTACCAACGTTTCGTATCCAGCGTTTTTGGAGCTTAATCACTTACCCTCCAGAGGATTTACCCCCCCTTCCTCACCAGGCCGTTTGGCAATACGGTGCTGCGATATTTTATCTGACAATTGCACGGTTATGCAACGCTGTACATAAATGAAATTTATGTAATTTTTTTTCCCCACAAATAGACCTTTCTATCTTTGGTATATGATCACCTCTGTGGTTTTTATTTTTTGAGCTATAAACAATTAAATCTGACAATTTTGAAAAAAAACAAGCAATATTTTTGACTTTTTGCTATAAAACTTATCCAATAAAAAATATGTCTTCATTAACTACTTGCCAACCGCAGATAGCCAAATGACGGTTACACTGTGGCCGGCCAGTTCTGGGAGGGCGTCATATGACGTCCACCCAGAACGCGCTCTCCTGCACGCCCCGGGGGCGCGCACCCGGCGATCTCCGTGATCGCTGTGTCCTACGGACACAGCTGATCACCTGATGTGGTAAAAGGCCAATCACAGCGGCCTTTTACCACGTGATCAGCCGTGTCCAATGACACGCTGATCACAGGGAAATGCAATTGCCGGTTCTCGGCTGCACTTTCCTCACGCTGTCAGAGCGCGAGGAAAGTACTGCCAAGAACCGGCAGTTGTCAGAGCAGGAATCGGCACCAATCATCAGTGCCCTGATGATCGGTGTCCGGCAGTGCCACCCACCTGTGCCCAGCAGTGCCCCCCAGCAGTGCCACCTACCTGTGCCCAGAAGTGCCACCTACCTTTGCCCAGCAGTGCCACCCACCAGTGCCCACCCACCTGTGCCCATCAATGCAGTGCTGCCAGTCAGTGCCCAGCGGTTGTGCCAGTCAGTGACCAGCAGTTGCGCCAGTCAATGCCTAGCAGTGCCGCCAGTCAGTGCCCAGCGGTGATGCCAGTCAGTGCCACCTATCAGTGCTGCCTATCAGTGCCACCTCATTAGTGCTGCCTATCAGTGCCACCTCATTAGTGCTCCCTATCAGTGCCGCCTCATCAACACACATCAGTGAAGGAGAAAAATTACCTGTTTGAAAAATTTTATAATAAAAACAAAGAAAATTTTTTTTTTTCAAATGTTTTGCACTTTTTTTGTTCATAGCGCAAAAAAAAAAGCACCCAGCGGCAATTAAATACCACCAAAAGAAAGCTCTATTTGTGAGAAAAAAATGATAAAAATTTCATATGGGTACAATCTTGCATGACCGCGCAATTGTCAATCAAAGTGTGACAGCGCTGAAAATTGATTGGTAAAGGAGGGGATATAAGTGCCCGGTAGGCAAGTGATTAATTTAGGCCAAAATGTATTCTGCTACATGTCTTTGCTTAAAAAAAAAAAATTCCTAATACTTGTATATTAATTGGTTTATGTGGAGGTTATAGCATCTACAAATGGCGGTATATATATTGGAATTTTTATTATACTAGTAATGGTGGCGATCAGACTTATAGCGGGACTGCGGCGGACATTGTGAACCTGTTCTTGAAAACTGGCAGCAATGATAAAATTCTGGTACCCTTATGGGCCTGTACATACTTCCTGAGCACCCTTGGATTCCTAAAGTCTGGGAGCCCTATTATGCAAATCTTAACTTCTGCAAGGAAAACAGTGCCACTATTCTGCCTCCTGCACCACAGTACTTTTTTGAGGAGTACAGAAGAGTAGTACCTAAAGCTTGAAGATGAACTATATACATCTAGAAAATAATACACCAATGATGGGACACCATTCCTCCCACTGATACCAATGATGGGACACCATTCCTCCCACTGATACCAATGATGGGACACCATTCCTCCCACTGATACCAATGATGGGACACCATTCCTCCCACTGATACCAATGATGGGACACCATTCCTCCCACTGATACCAATGATGGGACACCATTCCTCCCACTGACACCAATGATGGGACACCATTCCTCCCACTGACACCAATGATGGGACACCATTCCTCCCACTGATACCAATGATGGCGCACCATTCCTCCCATTGATACCAATGATGAGGCACCATTCCTCCCACTTATACCAATGATGGGACACTATTCCTCTGACACCAATGATGGGACACTATTTCGCCCACTGACACCAATGATGGGACACCATTCCTCCCACTGATACCAATGATGGGGCACCATTCCTCCCATTGATACCAATGATGGGGCACCATTCCTCCCATTGATACCAATGATGGGGCACCATTCCTCCCATTGATACCAATGATGAGGCACCATTCCTCCCACTGATACCAATGATGGGGCACGATTCCTCCCACTGATACCAATGATGGGGCACGATTCCTCCCACTGATACCAATGATGGGGCACGATTCCTCCCACTGATATCAACGATGGGACACTATTCCGCCCACTGACACCAATGATGGGACACTATTCCGCCCACTGACACCAATGATGGGACACTATTCCGCCCACTGACACCAATGATGGGACACTATTCCGCCCACTGACATTAATGATGGGGCACTATTGCTTCAACTGACACCAATGAAGGGGCACTATTACTCCCCCAATACTAATGTTAGGGCATTGTTTACTCCACTGACACCAGGACGCTTGCTTCTCCTACTGGCTACAGTCCAGCCCCCCTAAAGTCTGAAGGACAGCAATTATGGCCCTTTATTTAGAGAGTTTGGAGACCCCTCTATTAAAGGATAAGTTCACCTTTAACAAAAAAAAAATAATGCACTTTTTTTTGCAGTTTAAAAGATATGCATTTACTATTTTTTTTTGTTTTTTTTTCTAGGACCCTGGAAAGCATTGCACGGATGATCAGCAGAACATGGGTGTACTGCAGGTCTCCTGCAGACTGTTCGTGTAATCTGTCTGCATCACACATTGCATGGGCAGGCAGTTTCACACTGACAGGAAGAATCAATGAACTACTAGAAGCCGAGATCCACAAAGGATTGTCGGTACTAGTAGTTGATTCATTCACAGAACTCTGGTGGTGGAGCCCCACAAGGCCACGCTCTTCCAAAAGGGACAGCTGGTATGGGGAACTTCTCCCCGTACTGCTGTCAAACAGAGGGCTCGGATCACTGAGCAGAAGTGGGAACATTTTACATGTTCCACCCTAAAAATAGGTGGAACATGTAACATGTTCCCAAAGATGAACTTATCTTTTAACCCTTTCACTGCCAGAGCAGTTTTAGGGGGGTTTTTTGCACACATTTTAAAAAAATCACATTACATAAAACCCCCAAAACATTATATATTTTCTAAAAGCAGACACCCTAGAAAATAAAATAATGGTAGTTTCAATAAAAACCCAATAAATTACCCAATTTGTTTTGGTACGATATAAAAGAGGAGGTTGCGCCGATGTAAACAGATACCAAACATGTCAAACCTTAAATTTGCATGGCGACAAACTTCAATACCCTATATTTTCTATAGGCAACGCTTTGGATAGCCCCCTATAGGTCATCAGTTTAGAATCACGGAGGATATCTGGTGCTAGAAATATTCCTCTCATTCTCATGTGCGTGGAAAGATGCAACGTGCATCACAATCGCATTTTCATGTGTAGGCACCCCCAAGGCGTGTGTTTGTACATGCATATATGTGGAAGTGGGGCGGGCTCAAAATGTTTAAATTTTTATGTGCTTGGGTGTAACTTTTTTTTTTTTTTTTATACAATAAAAAAAGTATATACCGTATTTTCTGGCGTATAAGACGACTTTTTACCCCTTGAAAATCCTCTCAAAAGTCATGGGTCGTCTTATACGCCGGTTTACGGCGTGGTGACACTTTTAAACGGAAGGGACACTAAGTACAGGGGTGGGCAGGGGCTGCTGTTTCTTACCTGGATCCGGTCCCACAATGATCCGGTCCAGGAAGCGCGGCTGCTCCTTCAGTTTGGCCACTGGATGTTAGCGTGGCTGCTCGGCTCCACCTCCTCACCGGTGATTGGCCGCCAGAACTGTAGCTCAGGAAAGGAACACAGGCGGCCAATCACCGGCGAGGGGGCGGAGTCCAGCGGCCCCGCGAAAATCGAGTGAAGGAGCGGCCGGTAAGTGTGCAGTGTAGAGGTGCTGCTGCAACCACATATGCTGGCTGCAGCAGCACCATACTAGAACAGAGGTCAGCAAGTGTAATTGGTGTCAGTGGGAGGAATAGTGCCCCATCATTGGTGTCACTGATACTAATGATGGGGCATTATTCCTCCCACTGACACCAACGATGGGGCACTATTCCCCCCCCACTGACACCAATGATGGGACACTCTTCCACGCCCCACTGACACCAATGATGGGGCACTATTCCACCCCCCACTGACACCAATGATGGGGCACTATTCCACCCCCCACTGACACCAATGATGGGACACTATTCCCCCCACTGACACCAATGTTGGGGCACTATTCCTCCCACTGATACTAATGATGGGGCACGATTCCCCCCACTGACACCAAAGATGGGGCGCTATTCCTCCCACTGACACCAATGATGGGGTGCTATTCCTCCCACTGACACCAATGATGGAGTGCTATTCCTCCCACTGACACCAATGATGGGGTGCTATTCGTCGCTCTGACACCAATGATGGGGCACTATTCCTCCCACTAATACCAATGATGAGGCACTATTCCTCCCACTAATACCAATGATGGGGCACTATTCCTCCCACTAATACCAATGATGGGGCACTATTCCTCCCACTAATACCAATGATGGGGCACTATTCCTCCCACTAATACCAATGATGAGGCACTATTCCTCCCACTAATACAATGATGTGGCACTATTCCTCCCACTGACACCAATGATGGGGCACTATTCCTCCCACTAATACAATGATGGGGCACCATTCCTCCCACTAATACAATGATGGGGCACTATTCCTCCCACTGACACCGATGATGGGGCACTATTCCTCCCACTGGTGTGCATTGGAAGAGGGGTAGTCTTATACGGCGAGTATAGCCCAAACACTACATTTTAGCAGGAAAAGTAGGGGGTCGTCTTATACGCCAGAAAATACAGTATTTTTACTTAACTTTTTTTCCCCCCTATCACATAGTGGACAGAAAGTCCCCTATGTGATGATTTTTTGGTGACAGGTTCTCTTTAATGAGACATACAGTGGGGCAAAAAAGTATTTAGTCAGCCACCAATTGTGCAAGTTCTCCCACTTAAAAAGATGAGAGAGGCCTGTAATTGGCATCATAGGTAGACCTCAACTATGAGAGACAAAATGAGAAAACAAATCCAGACAATCACATTGGCTGATTTGGAAAGAATTTATTTGCAAATTATGGTGGAAAATAAGTATTTGGTCAATATCAAAAGTTCATCTCAATACTTTGACCTCTGTCTTTGCCAACAAAGGATATATAACAAACGTTTCCTGTAAGTCTTCACAAGGTTGGCACACACTGTTGCTGGTATGTTGGCCCATTCCTCCACGCAGATCTCCTCTAGAGCAGTGACGCTTTGGGGCTGTCGCTGGGCAATACGGACTTTCAACTCAATCCAAAGGTTTTCTATGGGGTTGAGATCTGGAGACTGGCTAGGCCACTCCAGGACCTTGAAATGCTTCTTACGAAGCCACTCCTTTGTTGCCTGGGCGGTATGTTTGGGATCATTGTCATGCTGGAAGACCCAGCCACGTTTCATCTTCAATGCCCTTGCTGATGGAAGGAGGTTTGCACTCAAAATCTCACGATACATGGCCCCATTCATTCTGTCCTGTACATGGATCAGTCGTCCTGGTCCCTTTGCGGAAAAACAGCCCCAAAGCATGATATTGCCACCCCCATGCTTCACAGTAGGTATGGTGTTCTTTGGATGCAACTCAGCATTCTCTCTCGTCCAAACACGACAAAGTTGTATTTCTACCAAACAGTTCTATTTTGGTTTCATCTGACCATATGACATTCTCCCAATCCTCTTCTGGATCATCCAAATGCTCTCTAGCAAACTTCAGACGGGCCCGGACATGTACTGGCTTAAGCACTGGGACACGTCTGGCACTGCAGGATCTGAGTCCCTGGCGGTGTAGTGTGTTACTGATGGTAGCCTTTGTTACGTTGGTCCCAGCTCTCTGCAGGTCATTCACTAGGTCCCCCTGGGTGGTCCTGGGATTTTTGCTCACTGTTCTTGTGATCATTTTGACCCCACGGGGTGAGATCTTGCGTGGAGCCCCAGATCGAGGGAGATTATCAGTGGTCTTGTATGTCTTCCATTTTCTAATTATTGCTCCCACAGTTGATTTGTTCACACCAAGCTGCTTGCCTATTGCAGATTCAGTCTTCCCAGCCTGGTGCAGGTCTACAATTTTGTTTCTGGTGTCCTTCGACAGCTCTTTGGCCTTCACCATAGTGGAGTTTGGAGTGTGACTGTTTGAGGTTGTGGACAAGTGTCTTTTATACTGATAACAAGTTCAAACAGGTGCCATTGATACAGGTAATGAGTGCAGGACAGAGGAGCCTCTTAAAGAAGAAGGTACAGGTCTGTGAGAGCCAGAAATCTTGCTTGTTTGTAGGTAACCAAATACTTATTTTCCACCATAATTTGCAAATAGATTCTTTCCAAATCAGCCAATGTGATTGTCTGGATTTTTTTTTTCTCATTTTGTCTCTCATAGTTGAGGTCTACCTATGATGCCAATTACAGACCTCTCTCATCTTTTTAAGTGGGAGAACTTGCACAATTGGTGGCTGACTAAATACTTTTTTGCCCCACTGTATAGGGTCTAAAAGGCCCTGCATGTCTCCTCTGAATAAAATGCAGTACAGATCACACTGCATTACATTCTTTCCTGTCCTCAATGGCTGGGGACACTGTCAATGGGGTTCCGGAAGTAACATCATACATGTCGCATGTGTGTGGGGGCTGGCACTTTCTCGGAATGTGTTCAAGCAATAGGGCGGCAACAGAGCTGCCCGAATGCTAGGACGAACTAAACTGCATATTGGGATGATGGGATTATTGGCTGCAATGCTCAACACTCTCATTAGGTGTCAGTATATTTTTACACACACATATGGTAATGATTTTGTTGTTACTCAAAATGTTTTTCTATTCTGCAATGCTTGATACTATGTTGCAAGTAGTATTGGCTAATGTTTAACTCTTCACTTACCTGCTATATGTGCAGCTGTAAAATGGCATCATAGTAAATTATACAGAAATAATGGAAACATTACTCAATATATTAATGGGAATAGATTTACTGATGTCATACAGTACATATATGTTTAAAGCACTACATTTTCAACTGTTTTATTAGGAACCTGGAAAATGATG